GTGGGGGCCTCTATAGAGATGGTCGCGGCGAGGGTGAGGCCGCGTGTGACAACGCCCACTAGCTGCGAGGGAGGGGGGATCCAAGCAGTTGAGGCGGGTGGGTGGGCGAATGCATGATGAAGAAGAAAGAAAGGTTGAAGATGAACTGTGTCTGTGTGAGGTGATTGCGGAAGTTGGATGATGATCCGACGGCCAAAAAAAATGAATGATGCCAAATTTGTTTTCACAAATAGGTGCTCCCGATATTATTTTTCAGAAATTGCACCCCATTAATTTTGTCTCACTCCACAGTCCACGCTCTCATTCGGCACAATTGTCCAAAAGGTACAACCAAACCCTAAATATCAGCAATGTGGCTAATTCACCAACTTGTGACTGACAGGCCACAAGTGGCCTGGCCTCCCTATCTACATTACCACCCCTCTTCCTCCATTGAATCCTTCCATTCCTTTCTTGCCATCTCCGGCCGCACCACAATGGCCACCACAACCACCACAACTGTCACCGAACCTGACAATGCCGACGAGTCTTCACCACCATCTAAGAATGTCATGTACGAGCTAGCCGCGCGGAACATCTACTACGCGAAGCCGGCCGCGGCGCCGACATTGTCGCTCGGCCGGCTCCTGAAGCCATGCGGCGCGGCCCTTTCGACGCCCGAGTACATCCTCCGCGACGTGTCGCTCACGGCGCGGGCGGGGGAGATCCTGGCCGTCGTCGGCCCGAGCGGCGCCGGCAAGTCCACGCTGCTCGACATCCTCGCGGTGCGGACCGCGCCCACCCACGGGCGCCTCCTGCTCAACTCGGCGCCGCTCCGGTCCTCCTCCTTCCGCCGGCTCTCCGCCCACGTTCCCCAGGCGGACGTCGCGCTGTCGCTGCTCACCGTGGCCGAGACGTTCACCTTCGCCGCGTCGCTGCTTTACCATACGTCGGCGTCCGCGGCCTCGACCGCGGTCACGGCGCTCCTCGCGGACCTCCGTCTGGCGCACGCGGCTCACACGCGGGTCTCCGCGTCCCGGCTGTCGGGTGGCGAGCGCCGGCGGGTCTCCATTGGCCTCGCCCTGCTCCGCGACCCCGGGGTGCTCCTGCTCGATGAGCCGACCTCCGGCCTCGACTCCTCCTCGGCGTTCGTGGTCGTCGGCTGCCTCCGCGCCGTGGCGGCCGCCAGAGGCACGACGGTGGTGCTGTCCATCCACCAGCCCAGCGCGCGCCTCCTCTCCGCCGTGGATTCGCTCCTGCTCCTCTCCCGCGGCATCGTCCTCCACCACGGCTCCCTCGCCTCCCTCGACGCCGCCCTCCTCTCACACGGCTTCGCCGTGCCCGCGCAGCTCAACCCGCTAGAGTACGCCCTCGAGGTCATCGACCAGATACCCCATCCCTCGCCCTCCTCCCCTGAACCCAAGTCGGAACAAGATCTCACAACCAAGACATCGGATTCGGACCGCCACAGGCCGGTCATGGCGACACCGCCGTCGTTGTCGTGTACTTCGCCGTGCTCGCGGATACATGAGTTCGTAGTTCTGTACAAAAGGGCGTGGAAGGTGGTGTATCGCAGCAAGCAGCTGCTATTGACCAACTTCCTCGAGGCTGTCATCGTCGGGACGCTGCTGGGCACCATCTACATCAACGCCGGCTATGGCGAGGCCGGCGCACAGAAGCGACTGGGGCTCTTCGCCTTCACGCTGACGTTCCTGCTCACCTCCACCACGGAGACGCTGCCGACGTTCGTCACGGAGCGGCCTATCGTGCTCGCTGAGACGGCGGCTGGTCTGTACCGGCTGTCCTCCCACGCCACCGCGGCCACGATGGTGTTCCTCCCGTATCTCCTGGCGGTGGCGCTGCTCTACTCCTCGTGCGTCTACTTCCTCGTCGGCCTCTGCGCGTCGCCGGCGGCATTCGCAGTGTTTGTGCTGGTGGTGTGGGCGGTGGTGCTCACGGCCAACTCCTTCGTGCTCTTCATCAGTTCCTTCGCGCCGGACTACATCGCGGGAATGTCGCTGGTGTCGGTGTCGCTGGCCGGGTTCTTCCTCTTCTCTGGCTACTTCCTGTCCCGGGAGAGCACGCCGGTGTACTGGGTGTTCATGCACTACGCCTCTCCCTACAAGTACGCGCTGGACGCCATGCTCGCCAACGAGTACTCGTGCGCGGCGAACCGGTGCTTTGGGGTGGCCGGCGCCGGAGAGGAGTGCTCCGAGACGGGGCGCGACGTGCTGGCGGCGAGAGGCCTCACGGCGGAGGAGCGGTGGACGGGAGTGCAGGTGCTGTTTGGATTCTTCCTCCTCTACCGGGTGCTCTACTGGGTCGTGCTCAGCCGGAGAGCGTCCAGAGCCAAGAGGTGACCATTGATCGATCCATGAATCTCGTCTCCTCCATTACTACACTACGTAGTGCGTATACGAGTGTGTGTGAACGCATGCATGGAGAAGAAGGAGCTTCGTGCATGCGACAGTAAAGGTACGCCAATGTCAAAGTTCATCGACAGAGTGGTTAACCGGTAATTAAGCTGCTATACTGATGTATATTGTGAACATAAAATGACCTTCTACATAAATGTATGCATGGATATGGATAATAAACAGTGAGAATTCTCTACATGCCATTGATTATACTGATGGTTGGTCGATAGTATAGAGGGAATTGAGCCCTTCTTCAGTGGCATGTGAGGAATTCTCTAATGATAATTTGTGGGTACTGGCTTGATTTTTGTAATAACTTTGGCTTTCTTTTCAAACGTTCAAATGTAGTGCAAATATAATTCACCTGAATATTTTGAATGCCTGGCCATCGCCGTCTTTTAAGCATTCGAAAGGGTAGTGCGATTATAGGTAACCTGGTCATTTGAAGTCCTGGTCATCTTTTCAAATTTTGGATCAAGATATTGCCATGCATTTTTTTCCAACATCGCTTCATACAATCTTTCTAGAGAATTATAACCACGTACAGTTTGCTAAAGTTGTGCAATTTCAGTACTCCAATTGTAGGCTAACTGTTGTCTAATCTTAAGTGGCTAAGGTTATGATATTTCAGCCAACAGACAATTAACAAAAACAAAATCAATGTAGTTTGATTTGTCTTGTTAAACATAGGAAAAATTAAAATTTTGATTTGACCACTGATCGGCAAAAAAAATCACCTGTCGTTCTCCTTGAGCGCTTCTCTATGTGATAGAAACAAAAAAGTATTCAGTAAACTATCTATCTGATCATGGTATAGCCATTATACATTTATCCAAGGCATGTATTTTAATCCCAAGACGGTAACCTTGACCCCGCTAGCAAAGTCATTTCTGACGGAGACGCTATATGGTGAACTCTTCTCAACCAATCACAGCCCGCCACCATTGCATGTACTCTACTTCATCATAGTTTTTGTATTAAACGAATGATAGGTAAATATCTGAAAATAATACTTCTGTGAGTTCCAAAATGTATTTTTACCAATAATTGAAACTAGTTCGAAGACTTCAATTTTTTTAAACTTATGTATTATTTTCTGATTTTTTGATTTAATGCAATGATTTTAGCGACATTAAAAAGTTCAACTATTTTTATTTGAATTTCCATTGTTTCTATTTTTTTTAAAATACGAGTCATAAACATTTCACAAATATCAATTATTCCAGTCTTATTTCAATCAATTTCAGAAACATTTCACACAATTTTCAATTCAGTCATATCTCAATCAGTTCTAGAAATATTTCATACACGTGCCAAGAAATTCACTGTTTTGAAACAATTTACAAATATAAATCGTAAAATTTGACATACCTTCCAACTATATATGTCACTTTCTGATCAATTTAGGAAATATTCTATATGTATTTCACCCAAGTTTTCAATTGTTTCAGACACATTTTAATAATTTTAGTCATACTTAGGAAAATTTGGTAAACTTGCATTTTGAATTTGGAAGAGGGTCACCCGCGCAGGCTAGGAGGTGTGTGAGCATGTGTGTTTTGGCTGGAATAGAGTTGGGCCTCTTTGATTCACGGGGATCCGTAGGAATAGAAAAATCATAAAAATAGAGTATCATGTCCTCTTGTATCCTGTATAACTAGAAACCTACATAAATTTGGATGGAATAGTGCTTGACAGCCCACAAAAAAAAGAAATTATACCAAGAGCTTTGAGTGGATGATATTTTAATGAAATACAAATAAATTCTATGAAAAACAATCTAAGGATTCTAATCCCACGAGCCAAACGACCACCTTAGGAAATGTTTCGAAGCACTCAAGGCCTGACGAAAGGGACTGAGTAATGCTCCGGGAAGAAATGTGTTGCGTCCGATGAACATCAAACGACAGGGAAATTCTCCTGCTCCATCAACAGGCGCCGTTGCAAGTCTCACAAATTTGCGATATTTGTTACGCGTGGCCCAGATACCACACTGCAGAGCTGGGGACGCATGATAGACAGTCGACGTACGTACAACGCAGAAACAGCACTGCCCTTGGACGAGTTTGGAGAACCAATCACATGCGGATGAATGATTTGTGCGCACATGATCCCATCTCACAAACTATATTGTACTAGTAGTAATACGGTACTGATGAGCTACATTTGTAGCTAGCGTGAACCTGGTGTGATCGATCGTCGTATAATTATCAGCCCTGGCCTATGTGTGCATGCCGATGTTTGTGCATGCATGTGAAAGTCTGCATGCGGGTTCGTCGGTTAGCTCCAACGACAGCGAGTTCCGTCCCGTCTCGCCGAGCTTGCCTCCTCACGGGCCCTTGGAGCTCTCTGCGCGGGAGGGTGCCCGTGAGCTCTTCCTTTGTCGCCGGTCAGGTAAATGAATGTCCCGTGTCGCCTGGGATGCTAACCAAAGCTCTCGTGACGCATCAGGCTAAGCTCACCGCGCAATGGAAAATGATTCTCTATTCTCTTCCGATGTGGCACCGCGCCACCGCGATGCCTGCCCTGCACGGGAGTAATGCTAGACCCATCATGCAGGCTGATTTGTAGGATTAGGATTGGAAGTGGGGGTGAAAGGCCCACCCGACGGAACGTAATGCACATCGTCGAAATTTTTGAAATAAATTCAGAAATAAATATGAGCACCACGACTTGAACCCTGATGGCCTAAGGATACCATAGTCCCTTTAACCATCCAACCACAAGTTGATTCGCAGTAAATCTACAGGTTTAAAAGCCACATATGGGGTAAACATTTGTAGGAGGTTACGTAGGTTTAGTATTTTTGGCCTCCACGGTGCCGGACGAGCGAGCGGCTCATTCAGATGGGCCAAGCCAGGAGACCCTCACCATCGCACGCGCCGGACGGACCAAAGCTGCGCGAGGGTCGACATGCAAGATTTTTAATTAGAAACTAGTTTTTTTTTTCAAAATACAGACGCAGACACTCATACATATACATGTACACTCATCCTTATGAGCATATGCATACATCTTACCCCTTGAGATCTGCATTGTCGCACGCGTCAGACGGACCAAATTGCCATTAATCACCATAATTTTTGGAGGGCGCTCCAGGTCGAGCCCGCGAGTCTCCTTATTTAGTGGTTGAAGGAGGATATTTGGAGCGCACTCCATCACGAAAACGGATTGGCGCGGGTGACGTTTCGGCCTCCCATTGAGCTTCCCGTCTGCGTCGCCGCCTACCCTCCCTTGCCGTAGGGCCGCCTAGACCGCTTCTAGCCATTCCTAGTCCCCGTCGACGACACCATGGATACCGCCTTGATTACCGTGTCTGATTTTGTCGATTTGGAGTCTAATAACGCGACTTCAATGGCTCAAGTGGCGTCCACCACCGCTCAGGGAAGCACCTTATCCACACTGTTGGCAATGATTCTGGCAAAGCGGTGGCAAACCTTATCTCGCCATATGTAGGCAGGGGCCTCCAATCCCTGTTACCGAAGGGATCGAAAAAGTAGAAGGGGAAGGGTCGCGTCGTTGCCCCTCCTCCCTTCCTCCCGACGGTGGGCGAACTTGGGGCGCCTTCCCGGACCTAAGCCAGACTATAAACGATGATGAGGTAAAAAATACATCATTTTCTTCGTATGCGGATTTTGATTGAATGTGAGGTGAACATGGAAAAAGATTGGCAAATGTGCAATGTTTTTTATTTAGCGGTGATTATGCGAATTGGGGGAGGAGACGGTCAATAATGAACCATTCCTCGAAAGTATGATGGGTGATTCCGTCGGGACAAATGATTTTGATCTTGAGGGTGCATAATAGCCGCATTTTTAGCAAATGGATGTGTCTAGTCAAAATACAGAAGTTGCTAAATTCTAAGCCTCCATCGAAGAAGAAAGCAATTTGTAGAGAAAACTTCACCCTGGATGAGGATATTGCGCGGATGGGAAGATATCTCTCTCCATGTGGTCACTAAAAAAGATCAAACGAGTGCAAAGTACTGGAAGTATGTAGAGGGGCGTTTCAAAAATCATCTTGGGCGGAGAATGAAGTGTAGTCTTAAATCTCTCAAAAACTGATTGGGTATGATTCAAGATATGTGCAACAGTTGGTGGGTTTGTTTGGACCAAGTGAAGCACGCTCCTCCTAGTGTTGTCATCATTGACCAATATGTTAAAAAAAATCATTTCCATATTTGCGCTACTTTGAGCATTTTCTCTTCAGTTTGAGAATTTGTTTACTTTAGCAAATGATAGAACAAGATATGTACCAAAAATGGCAAAGTCGAACGGTGAATCGTTTGGCCTCCTACGTTGTTGGAATTTGTTGGAAGGGCATGAGAAGTGGAAGTCCAGGAATGATCACGACAATCCAAAATTTGGGAAGTGCAACAGTTCCGGAGACGGACGACTGTAGGATCGAAAGTATGTCTAGAGGGGGGGGGGTGATTAGACTACTTGACCAAATAAAAATCTAGCCTTTTCCCAATTTTAGTTCTTGGCAGATTTTAGCTATCTTAGCACAAGTCAAGCAATCTCCACACAATTCAAGCAAGCATGCAAAAAAGTATATGAGCAGCGGAAATTAAAGTATGCAACTTGCAAGAATGTAAAGGGAAGGGTTTGGAGGATTCAAACGCAATTGGAGACACAGATGTTTTTGTCGTGGTTCCGATAGGTGGTGCTATCGTACATCCACGTTGATGGAGACTTCAACCCACGGAGGATAACGGTTGCGCGAGTCCACGGAGGGCTCCACCCACGAAGGGTCCACGAAGAAGCAACCTTATCTATTCCATCACGGCTGTTGCCCACGAAGGACTTGCCTCACTAGCGGTAGATCTTCACGAAGTAGGCGATCTCCTTGCCCTTACAAACTCCTTGGTTCAACTCCACAATCTTGTCGGAGGCTCCCAAGTGACACCTAGCCAATCTAGGAGACACCACTCTCCAAGAAGT